ATTGACACCATTCCCACCATTGCTATAGAACTAGTGTATGATCAATTAAAGAAATTAGATGTATATAAATCAGCAGCACCAGATGAACGCCACTCAACAGTGCTGCAAGAGTTGGCCAAAGTAATCGCAGAGCCTCTGGCAAAAGTCTTTCAAAAATCATGGGCCTCTGGAGAAATCCCAGAGGACTGGAAGAGGGCCAGTGTTGTGCCCATCTTCAAGGAGGGGAAGCGTGAGGACCCAGGAAACTACAGGCCTTTTAGCTTAACTTCTATTCCAGGGAAAATCTTAGAAACATTCATCAAAGAGGCTATCTGTGACAAACTTGCAGAAAGCATGATACTGAATGACAGCCAGCATGGCTTTGGTGCAGGCAAGTCTTGTTTGACCAACCTCATTTCTTTGTATGATCAGGTGACTTGTCAGTTGGAGGAGAGAAAAGCGGTGGACATCATATACCTCGACTTTCAGAAAGCCTTTGACCTGGTATCCCACGAGGTACTGATCAGAAAACTGGAAGATATCGGGCTCAACTGTGGGACTGTCAAGTGAGTGTGAAACTGGTTGCGGGGTAGGATGCAGAGTCCAAATGAATGGATTGGTGTTGTCCTGGTGAGATGTGGGCAGTGGCATACCCCAGGGGTCGGTACTTGGCCCAGTACTGTTCAACATCTTCATCAATAACATGGATAAGGGGGCGAAAAGTCCATTGGTCAAGTTTGCGGATGACACCAAGATAAGGGGTGTGCCCACCTCTGCTGTACTAGGTGCTCTCGTGTGGCCTTAGCCTGGACTATCGATCGAGCCTGTCCCTGGGCTGGCGAGGGGACCCAAAAGCCTCCCCCGGCTGACGTCAGGCGACCCCCTTAACTCGCCTGCCACGACTTTGAATGGTATCTCAGTGGAGGAGTTCCCCTTTGAGGCAGCCTCCAGGGTCGTCACGCCTCCCGGGGGGCACTCACGGGGCTCCAACCTCCCCTACACCCCAGCCACTTGCCACCTTAGGTTGCAGGTCTTGTGGCCCTTTTGGCGTCCTTGGCTCCACCTGACTTCTCCCGGTGGCCCTCCAGCCACGCGTCAGTGTCTTCAGGTTGCGACTCGATGTGCAGACTTCGAGGCTCTCGGACCTGGATCCCACTAACCCATATCCCTAGCGCCCTATCCCAACCATCCTGTGACTTAGCGTGCAATTCCCACCACTGGGACAGCTGAAGCGATGCGGCCAGTGGGCCAGGAGGCCACGAAGCGTGCCCTTAACCTATGAAGGCCATGAAAAGTGCCCTGGGCTACGGGCCCCGTGGATTCCCTGTGCCTAGGTGCCCAGTCCCAGTTGCTTGCCCCACTTGGGTATGGAGTCCCGGTCGATTATCCTTGGGCTATAGCGGGGTCCGTCTGCCGTTTGTCCCGTCCCTGCTTGGGGTCTTCTGCCGCACCCCACGGCGGTACCCAATGGGGTTCCCGTCGGCCACGCCCCTGTTACCTCCTCTCTGGGACTTCCCTGCTGGCTTGCCAGTTGACACCTCTGTTGGCTTGCCTGTCGCTGCCTCTGCCGGTTCTGTAACCGGCCCCTCTGCCGGTGCAGCTGCCAGCTCTGCTGCAGGTGTTGCTGCTGGTGCCTCTGCCAGCTCCGCTGCTGGCTCCTCTGCAGGCTCTGTTGCCAGCTTCGCTGTCGGCTCCTCTGCCGGCATCGCTGCTGGCTTCACTGCAGGCTCTGCTGTCAGCTCTGCTGCTGGCTCCGCTGTCGGAGCCTCCCCAGGCTCCGCCCCTGGCTTCCCGTGCTGCCTGACGTAGCAGTTGTGCCCCTTGGGGTGTGGGCTTCCCCCTCAAGCCCCCGCTCATCTGCCGCCCTCCTGCACCCTCAGGGCAGCTTTTTATCTCCGCCGGGTGGCATCTCCAGCTGATGCCACCCGGCCCCAGCTGAATATAAGCGCGGCTGATGAACTGTGTTGGTGGTTTTGCCGCATGCATTTCTTCCTGCTTTTCAGACCCTGCAGAAGGTAAGTGGGGCTTTCTTTTTGCTTTGGCCTGGGGTCCTCCTGTAACCCCGGCTCCCCTGGGACAAGGGGGTTGCGTGGACACCATGCAGATAGGCTGCAAATACAAGCAGACCTAGACAGGCTGGCATGTTGGGCAGAACGGAACCAGATGAGGTTCAATGTAGACAAATGCAAAGTGCTGCACCTGGGAAGGAAGAACCCCCAGCACACCTACAGGCTGGGCAACACTACCTGACCAGCACTACAGATGAAAGGGATCTGGGGGTAACAATAGACCCCAGCATGAATATGAGCTGGCAATGCGATAGTAGCCACTAGGGCCAATAAAACTCTGGCATGTATCAATCGATGTATCTCCAGTAAAACGAAAGAAGTGATTCTCCTGCTTTACTCAACATTGGTGCAGCCGCAGCTGAAGTATTGCTTCCAGTTTTGGGTGCTGCACTTCAACAAGGATGTGCTAAAGCTCGACAGGATCCAGAGAAGGGCCACCTGTATGATTAGAGACTTGCATGGCAAACCATACAAGCAGAGGCTGAGGGATCAGGACTCTTCAGTCTAAAGAAAAGAAGGCTGAGAGGGGACTTCATTGCGGCTTATCAGAGGTGTACAGCAAGAGCTCGGTGAACCATTGTTCACCAGGGTGCCCTGGGGGAAAACTAGAAACAATGATCACAAACTCCTGGAAGACAGTTTCAGGCTGAACATTAGGAAAAACTTCTTCACAACTAGGGTGTCCAGATTATGGAACAAGCTCCTCCCAGAGGTGGTGCAATCATCTGCCCTAGAGGTCTTCAAGAGAAGACTAGACTGTCACCTGTCTGGGGTCACGTGATCCCAGGTGTCTTTCCTGCTCATGCAGGGGGCTGGACCCGATGATCCTTCAGGGTCCCTTCCAGCCCTATGATTCTATGATTTTTTTAGGAACTACAATCTTTATTTTAGATACTTTGCCTTAGGTCAACGGTTCCCAATCTGTGGTACAGGTACCATTAGTGGTACACAGACAACCCGGCAGTGGTACACGTTAACAGTTTTGTTTAATTACCTTATATGACAAAAATTTGCTGGTGGTACTTAAGGTTTTATTGTTTTAAATTGGTGGTACACAATCTGTCAGAGATTGGGAACCGCTGCCTTAGGTACTATGGATAATTACACAATAAACAATATATTTTAATTATATTATATTCAGACCATATCAGTTCACAAAACACATTATAGACGGAGAAAAGTATTCAGAAAAAAAGAAGGTACAACTTATACAGTTCAAAAAGTATAATTTTAGTTATCCAGTGTTACAGAAAAATTATTTACTAGTATTGCTAGTTTTGTAACAGACATACATTCATGAGTGGTTTAGTTTAAAAAAAACAACCCTTTCTTTTATAACTGGCTCATAAAAAGGAAAATGGATTTCACACCATCAGTAACTTTGTGGGTGAATTTGATATTTATTAAAGTAAGGAAGTGATAGCTTTGGCTGGAATTAGTCCGAGTATAGCCAAGAATGGATCAAGCTTTTCCACACATCTCTATTCTGCCTTGCAACATTCCTGTTATTCCAGAATTGGGTTGGGCTTGCTATAATACAGACAGGTACTGATCAAGCTTCTCCACACACAGATCTTCCAGCATACTTCTGCCCTGTCTTGCAACACTTCTGTTATTCCTCTGTGCCTTAGGCAGAGCCTGTCAGATGGGCGGTGATTGTGGATCTGCTTCTGCTGAAATAAAACTGTAAAGTGTCCATTGACTTCAATGGTACAGGATCAAAGTCTTGGTGATGAAGACAAATGTCCTTGATAAGAAAAACTCATTTCTTCTGAAGTATTGGGATTTTGTCCCAGGCACTTAAAGGTAAATTTTAATTGTGACCTGGTTATCCTTTCATGACAGCAACTGAAATGTGAGTGACTTCATAGTTTTCAACCGAGTTACACTAGTGTATGTGACAGTAGAATCTGACCATTGGAGTATGATATTGTTGTGATTTCCTGGACAATTGTGTTCTTCTTCTTCAGAAGAAGTTTACTATTGATAAAATATTTTAGTTTTTTAAAATAGATATGCACAGTTCTTTGTGTAATTAATATCTGTAGGGCCAAAGTCACTCACCAGCAGGTTTTGATGTCAATGGAGTTATCTAGGTTTACACCAGTGGTTGAGTTCAGCCAATAGCTTGTATGCCGAATTACATGGAAAATCAAATAAGTATGAAAAACAAGAAAATATGTCAAATTAAGTATTTTCTTTCCTCTTTGTGATAGTTTATTGCATGAAAAAAATACATTTAAAATTTTTAAAAGGTTTTACTTTAAGCAATGTACTAAACTTAAAAAAGATTGGTTTGGTGAATGAGTCTAATGAAGGGACATGAATATGGATGTGCATGGACTGAGAAGCCTAGAGGAATTGCTTATTATCAGTAGTGACACGGAAGCCTGTGCTTGAAACTCCGCACATCGGGAAGAGGCGAGTCCCCTAGCACAAGTGGTTTCTCCAGCAATGTTCTGTGTTGATCAAAGCTGCATTATTTAAATCTATCTGGAGGCAAGGCCATAAATTATTGACGGTATTTTTTAAAAAGTCGTCTTTTAGGTGGAATGGATGGATGCAAGTTGCAGTTTGCTGTGAGTTCTACAACTGCTAGCATTCCCCCCCGCTTTTTTTTTTTTCTTTCTCAACTGGCAAGTTTCCTCAAAAGCACATTCTGGGACTGGTAACTGCAGAACAGGGGAATGCTGACACTTGGCTTCAATCACATCAGCCGAAAATCCCAGACACGCAGGACATATGAAAGGGCAGAAGAGCCCCTGCAGCCTCTGTGTCTCTGCTGCCAGATAGTTCACAGAGTTTCCTGACACCCTCCAAAGCCCCAGCCAGGAATCCTGCAATTAGCAGAGCTAGCTCCTCCTCTCTTGCAGTCCTCTCTTCCATTGGTAAAATGCCTGTGCGGGCCCAGGGAGGGGAGGCAGCCCACCCCTTCTCTTGTGTTTTCATTCTGAATCAATCCACAACTTCACACCTGAATGAATGCCAAGCCTCTGCGGATATATAAGGGAAAACTTGAAGAGCAAACTGCAGAGTTCCTGGACAGGGGCGCGGGGAGAGCACTCCGCCAGCTCTGCTAGGCAGGGGCTGAGCCAGCCATGCTCTCCTCTCCCGTCCGGGGCGTCCTCCTCGCCTGCATCTTCGCCCAAACCTGCCCGGCTTTCAAGAACGATGCCACCGAGATCCTTTATTCGCACGTGGGGAAACCTGTCCCGGCGAGCCCCGGCACCAACAGCACCTTGAATCAAGCCAGGAATGGAGGCAGGCATTACAGTCACCCTGCATTAGATCGCAGCAGTGAGTATCGCCCCCCTGCCCTGCCCTGCCCTGCCCTGCCCTGCCGCTGCCGGGGTGGCCCCGGGCTCAGCTCCCCCAGCCCTGCCCGGCCGGGTCGGGACCCCCGAGCTGCAGGGGCCCGGCTCGGCCGGGATGCAGCAGCCCCAGGGCGATGAAGCCTGGCCCCGCTCTGCGTTTTGCCGGGATGTTGCCGGCCGCACGCGCGAAAGCTTTTTAGAAGCGATCGTCTTAAATTCGATTCGAAAACAAGTCAGCGACCAAAAAAGGAAACACCTACTTAGCTTCTACGATCGCCTATCTTAATTTTATTTGAAGAACTATAATTGTTGCCTTGATGGGTGTACTTTGGAGTAGCTCCTATAGAGGGGATTGCACTAATAAAGTCTGAGCATCATCTGGCCCGTGCTCTGTGCGGCCAGCAGGCGCTCCCCAGAGCCAGGTGAGTCTCCGAAAGATCAAAGCAGCTTTGCCTTGGGATCCAGCTCTCTCCCCTTTTGGCTTCCTAGCTTTGTCCTTACCTGCTTGGCTCCCAAGGAAACAGGTTCATAGTTTACCTGTCATCTCTGCTCCAACTTGTCCCTTTTGATTCACCCCTCCCCCCACCCCAACCTCCCCTCCTTTTCCTGAATTGGAGGTAGGAAGAGCCAAATCCATCTCCTCCATCACCACCCCCTTAAGGTAAAAAACAAAAAACCCAACCAGAAATGCCACACACCCACATGCCTTGGGGGAAAAGTAACAGCACTCAGGGAAAGCAAAGGGACACTATGAATGCAGGCTTCTTCAGAAAAGCCAAGATGTGTCAGCTTTCCTGCAGGCGGGTGGCAGGAAATATCTTCTCCTTAGAAGATTTCTGCAGCCCAGTAGGTATCTACTGTCACTGTAGGAAAGCTGACTTTGCATATGCATAACAAGAGAAGGAAAGACAAATCGGAGCTATGATGAGATGCTTCCAGGTACATTCCTGAGCGCAGCTGCAGGAAGCTGGGCATGCATCCTTCAGGCACATGCAGCACTCCAGAAACCAGTCCTTGTGCAAACAGACTTTCTGGAGCAGTCTCCAAAGTGCAACAGCTTGGAAGCAATGGGGAAGAGGGACAAAGTGAGGCCAATTTAACCCATGTCTCTGATTAGAGTGAGCTTCCAAATATCTAAGTGAAAACAGAAACGTCCTGTAACGCTGTCGGGCGTAGGTACCTTCAGATCCTCTTGTGGCTTGCTCTAACATTTTTGGAGTGATTACTTTTTGTTTTAAAAGCCTGAAATAATGATATGCATGTTCCAACCCCATGGTAAAATTTCCATTAAAAAGAGGGAGCCAGCCAAGGATTACACATTTAAAATGAAGTGCATTGTGCCAGGTTAATTTCAAAAGGGTAATTATTGAAATAAACATCTGTATTTATTGCAGCATGCAGAGCTGCATATACAAGCAGGCACAAGCATGCTTCTATTTGCAGCTCTGCACTTTGATACTGTGTCAATTGCCTTGGAGAACTAAATAATGTTGCCTCAGGATTTGCAATATTCCTTATATTAAGTACAGGTAAGTATAAGGAATAGTGTAAATACAAAGATAAAGTTGTTTTTAAGGCAAAAACACCACTATTATTTTGCTAATAATTCAAACATCAGGTGCAGAACATAATTTTCAATCACCTTCCACTTTTATTATTTCTCATAAAATGTTTTTTTCAAGCCATATTTATCACTGGAGAGTAAATCCATAAATTGGAAAGTTGAAGAAAATATGTATTGGTGATTTCCTTAAATGCATTAGAATAATTCCCCAGACCACATAGAAACAGTATTTTTCATGCTAATGATCCACCAGAATTTTTCCAAGCATCCCAAAGTAAGTTCCCTCCAGGCTAAGAAAAGCAAAAGACATTTCAGCCCGAGGGTAATTTTTTTCCTTCCAGATGATTAAGAACCTGCAAATGAGGCCTGAAAATGAAATTCCTTCCTTCACCAAAATACTAACTTAAAAAAAAAATTTAATTTGTATCTGAAGCCAAATTGGCCCAAACAAATTCCAAATCCAAGAGTCCAGAACCATAAGTGGCCCTGTTACCAGCAAACATCCTCCACCCGCACCTGGGGCTTCAGTTGTTTCCAAAACCTTTGGTGGGCATCCTACTTGCAGGCCCAAGCCCGGAGGCTTGGAGTTTGGATGCCCCCAAGTTTTTTGCTTGCTCTCACCAAGGGAGCAGGCTTAAAGCTGCTGCACCTTGGCTGGTACTAAACCATGCCAGAAGAGCAGTTCTCCTGCAAAGTGGTTCAGGAAAACTGCCTTCTTGGACACAGATGCATGGTATTTCCCCTGCCAGGTTAAGAAGCCACTACACTTGATCTGAGCCTTCAAGAGTACAAGAAACATCACCAAAATGATAGCTACTACAGTGCTTAGCACTATTTATTTATTTTTGTCCTTTCTTAAGACCCAGAAGGCCCTGTCAGAGATTGACACCCGGTATGGGCTAGACATGTATGCATATAATGAAAGACCATCTCCCACAGTTTGTTGTCTAAATCCATGTCACCTATTGCTGTACCGGCCTTGCTCATTTGAACATGGTTGGCAACCTGAAGAAATGGTTTAGGGAATCTTCTTTTTCTGAGTCTTAGTGTTCTTGTTCTATGCATTCTGCAGATCGTGTTCAAGTTGGCTGTCGGGAACTGAGATCCACCAAGTACATTTCAGATGGCCAGTGTACCAGCATAAACCCCTTGAAAGAGCTGGTATGTGCTGGTGAATGCCTCCCTTTGCCGTTGCTCCCCAACTGGATTGGGGGAGGTTATGGAACCAAGTACTGGAGCAGGAGGAGCTCGCAAGAATGGAGGTGTGTCAATGACAAAACTCGCACCCAGAGGATCCAGCTCCAGTGCCAGGATGGAAGCATAAGAACCTACAAAATAACTGTTGTCACAGCCTGCAAGTGCAAAAGGTACACCAGGCAGCACAATGAGTCTAGCCACAACTTCGAGGGAGCCTCTCAGGCTAAGCCCATCCAGCATCACAAAGAGAGAAAAAGAGTCAGTAAAAACAGCAAGCATAGTACAAGTTAGAAGTCAGACATGTGCCCCCATAAATGAACTTGCCTGGAACTATTCTCTTCATTGATATGACTGCTTAAAAGACAAGTCTGCCATTGCTATGTTATCACTTAACCACACACGCTTTTTTTTTTTTTTTTTTGCTTGACCAAACTCAGAAGGGCATTCTGTGCATAAGGATTTTTCTTGGCCATTTTTTTTGTATGCTCAAGATGGAGAGTACCACAAGCCTTCCAATCCCACTCTTTGAACTGGAGGCATGGAGGCAAAGAATTGTTGCCATGAACATTCGCTTAAGTTTGGCTTTTAGAAAGGTGCTTTGTGAGTTTTCATAAGGAGAGTTAATTGTTGTCCATTGCCTTCAAATTCATATTTTATAACATTTTGACACATTCTCTTAATGACAGCTAGCAATTGTTTTCAGATTAATTCTAAGAAAACAAGGCCTTGCATGCTCTTGTATATCAGTATACCAAAAATTTTAATTATGCATGGCAGCATTTGAAAAGGAAAGCTGAATAAACTATTTATTTGTCAATGTAATTATTTAATAAGCTTTTATGTGTGGGGTTTTTTTTTTAATGTTCATCTTATGTTTATAGCTCTTCCATGTATCAAAGTATTTTCCTATGATTTGTGGCTGGATTAGGATATACCACACATTTTGTAGATAATGTAAAATAGATGTTTTAGTATTCTTGGTACACTTGGACATCAACAGTTTTGGATGTTATTTTGCAAGTAACTTGAAAAAATGCCTTGTACATGCTATACTCTGTATTATTTTTGTTTAAAGTGTGCAATCAAATGAAAGTTATGACTTCCTTTCAAATGTGTGGGGTTTTTTGTATAAAAATAAACAGTGCTAAAAAGATGTATCGTCTCTGGCTCTAATGTATATGAAACTGTACACATTTTGAGGAATTACAGCATTTAATCTCATAAAGTGGGAAAACATTATTTGATTTAAAACAAATGCCATAAAAATCTGGCAGCAATACTTAGCATAAAAAAACCAACCTTTCTGTGGAGTCTGACTTGTACAAGTCTTATGTGACCATTTATACCTGGTGCTCATTTATGGCCAAAATCAGACTTCAACAATGTTCACATTGTATATAGCACACAATAAGTATGTATCTGTGAATAAAACATCCCAATCTATTTATATCTTTCATTAACGTAATCAAGTTTAAGACTTACAGTAATAACAATAATCAGTATAGCCTTTCTTGTATACACAGTTTAGTCTTGAACATTATTCACAGAGGATGTATTATGAAATGTATAGTAAAGACAATTTTTCTATGTACAGAATAGGAATAATCTGCAATTAATTATTCAAATCAAATGAAGCCTGAGGTGATTTCCATCCATATTCATTCTAAGCAGTTAATCTCGCCAAAAGAAAACACTAAAAAGTAGATTTGCCAATGTACCACACCATTCTTAGTTGATTGGATTTTATATCCTCCAAACATTTAGTGTGAACAGCTACAGACAGAACACTGGATTCTAAAAAATGTGCTGCCTCCAGCATGTCCTTGATCAAATGTTTCATTCATTCTTGTTTACATTTTAATTTAATAAGACCCAATGGCTATATTGCAACACCATTTTTAAGTAGAACACCTCACTGATAACTAATGGAGCTCTCCATTTAAATATCAGTGCCACAGCATGGCTCCTAGGATCCTAAAGTTTAATGACACCTAGCCAAAGTCTTTCCAATAGTATTTCTTCATCCTTAGCAGATTTTTAAAGAACACTTTGGAAAGTAGCTGTGTGCGCGAAAAAGAAGATGAAATGTCCTTGGGGTTTTCCTTTTCTTCCTCTGGTGTGCTTTAATTTTTGAATGGGAAAGAGAAAAAGATTAAAACCATACATAGGTGTACACTTAAGGTAATAGACATAAATTAATGACCCAGATTGTTTCCTTCAAGCTAACTTCAGTATCATAAAGGGGTCAGGCTGATCACCTAGGCTGCTTACAGATGTGAAAAAACAAACCAAACAAAACAGCACTTTACTTTCAGCTTGGTGCGCCCCTGCACCAAGTGCAGTGCATACCCAGAAGAGGCATCGCGTTAATTTGACGCAGCTCGCTCAATGTCTGTGTAGATTGCACATTTCAGTGAAGCTTTCTGGCACTTTAATAGCTGAATTGAATCAACTTTAGATAAAAGTGCCCAAAAGTCCCGCTGAAGCACACGATCTATATAGATGTTGGGCGAACCGGGTTAAACTGACATCTTCCTCTTCTGGTAAAGTTTTTTTTTCCCCCACATCTGCAAGCAGCCATAGAACCTAGGGGTTAAATTTCATTTATACCGCAGTCTTTTTACACTGCTGACACTAAAGGAGCCTAAATTCACACCACTGGTTCTTAACTGTTTTAGACATGAGGCATCCCTGGATAGACTTGAGGGACCCTTGGACAGACTGGAGGCACCCCTTGGAAAATGTCAGCTCTTAGATTTCACTCTTTTTTTGCCTACAGAAAAGTAATAAGAGCTTTCTGTTGCAAAGACCTCATAACTATAGATTTCTATTTGAAATCTTGGGGTTTATCTTGTGAATCACATTCACCTGATAACACCTTGCAGCATGCTTAAAAGGATCTCAAGGCACCCCAAAGTTGCTGTGGCACCCTGGTTAACAATCACTGATTTATGCCCGCTCTAAGGCCCTTTAACACTACAAGAATGGTATAAAGGGGCTTGTAAATTTGAATCTGGGGCTACATACAGACAAGCAGTTTGATTCATACCAGAGCATTTTGAGCTGCACCAAAGCCAGACCTTACAGAGAGTCCCACATTAAGCACCTGTGAATTATTCGAATTAACACTTTGCCTTGGAACAACTTCACAGCTCATTCAACTTAATTGCCATTTAAGCCTTATGTGTAAACAGCTGGACTAGGCCTGTTTTGGTGTGAGTCAGAGACCAACCCAGTATGTCTTTCACCAAGCTGGTTGTCTGTTTTTTCGCCTGGTATTGCCAGCAATTTTTCTATAGTACAAGACATGGGCAGCAGCATATCATACTTCCTCCTGCTAGCAGCAGAAGTTAATTCAGCCACCATGCCAATTCAGCCTTTATCTTCATTACAATGATTACACAAGGAAAATGACCCATTGGTGACAGTGATGATAAGCAACTGGAGTCCCTGGGGTCATAATCAAATGATATTTAAAATGTGTGGACAGGAAAAAACAGTTGATATGGTTCCAGAAAGTGTCAGGCACAATGTTCCATCATGTCATATGAATTTTATTCTGTGTTAAAAGCTAAATAATCTTTCGCATCAGTTTAACTGTACAAGGAAGGAAAGTATTGCTTTCAACCATTGTTGGCGATAAGTAATCTTTGTGAAGACAGGACCAGAAGGTCATTGGGTATGAGGAACAAAACTAAGACCACCATCATATTTCACATAAGCCACTAAAACAACCATCACAAACTTTCTATGTCAACCCAAAACAAATGGGTGGTGTTCTATTATTTTTCCCTTCTCCACTGAGTCATAATTCTATCAAGGGGAAAGGTACTGGAGTCAAAAAATCTTAGTCTAGTTTAAGGGTTTACTGCAGACTTCCTGTGTGACTTAGGCCAAATCACTAGACCTTGATTCTGCCACCATCCACAGGTTGGATAACACCTTACTCCTGAAGGGGGTAGATAGGGCTCTTCAGATACTCTTTAATGTGAGTGAAGGTTGCAGGATCTTGACCTTCATATTTCCTCTTTTGTAAAATATATTTTATATGCCTTTCCTATCTCACACGGATGTTGTGTGAGAAACTGACAACATAGATTCCACAGGTTGCAAATCAAGAAAAAGCTAGCAAGGCAGAATTAAAGCCAGAAGACAGATGAGACTACCGTGCCCTACTCTTGGCTGTTCTTGACCAGAGTGAGACTTCACTACAAAAAATCAACAACTTAATAGCAATCTGACTCTGTATAACATTGTTGTTAACCTTGTGCCAGGTGATTCTGTTATATTGTCACTCCTTCAGGGAGATGGAGATCCTTTCACAGTGTCTGGCTTGGAGTGACAGACCCTATCATAGAATCATAGAAATTAAGGGCTGGAAGGAACCTTAAAAAAATCATCAAGTCCAACCCCCTGCTCTGGGAAGGAATACTGCTGAGATCAAATGATCCCAGCAAGATGTCTGTCCAGTCTCCTTTTGAAGACTTCCAAGGTTGGGGACTGTACCACCTCCTTGAGAAGTATATTCCAGATTCTGATCACCTTTACTGTAAAGAAGTTCTTACATCCAACCTGAAGCCATCCTCTAACAGTTTATGACCATTGGTCCTTGTCCTCCCCTGGGGCGCCCTAGTGAAGTTTTTCTCCCAGCTTCCAATATTCACCACTTACATACTTATGGATGACCACCAAGTTCCCCCTCAGTCTTCTTTTCCCCAGGCTGAACAGTCCCAGATCCCTTAGTCTTTCCTCATAATGTTTCCTGTCCAGGCCCTTAATTATTCTTGTGTCCCTTCTCTGGACCGTTTCAAGATTCTCCACATCTTTTTTGAAGTGTGGTGCCCAGAACAGCACACAGTACTCCAGCTGGGGTCTCACCAACATTGAGTAGATAGGAAGTAGTAGAATCCCAGTATTCTATTAGCTCTGTTGACTACAGTATTACACTGGTGGCTTGTGTTCATCCTGTGATCAACCATAACCCCGAGGTCCCATTCAGCCATTGTGCTGGCCAAGACATCTCTTCCTAACCTATATCCATGTCACTGGTTACTTCTACCCAGACGAAGTACTCTGCATTTACCCTTATTGAACAGTATAGAAAAGACCACAGAATCTATCACTAAATTTGGCAGATCTCTAGGGACCTGAAGGAACCCCTGGCCTTTTTACTGGAGGGCCTGTACACCTGCAATAGCTTGGGCTCCAGAGACCCACCCCAGCCCTCAACCACTGCCTTCCCATTAGCCATGAGAGTTTGCAGGGGAGTTCTAATAGAAAAGATCTATTAAAAGGCTGATTTGTCTTAATTTATCTAGGAGATCATCTTGAGGTTACAGAGGGGACAATGTGTGCTATTCCTACTTATCTCTAAGCTTCAGTATGTCTTCATTCTCCAGTGGCCTATATAAACTCCCCCTTCTTCTCATATGAAATTGAATCCATGGATCCCATCCATGGGATCTAGACGAGAGGTAAACACAATTGTTCAGGGAGATCTGATTATATCTGCCCTTATATGTAGGCTAGCCAATTGCCTATTAAGAATGATGGGGGTGGTGGGCGGGGAGAGGGCAGACACGGAGCCCCATGCCCCCTCTGTCCAGGCTGGCTCCCCCTTTACCTTCTGCTGCTTGGGGTCCGGGTCCACTCCCCCCCGCACTGAAGGGAGTGGGATCTGCAGTCTGGTCCTCAGTGCAGCTTTGGAATCATGGTGGTGCTCCCCCATGCTTGGAGCACTCTGATTGGCTGTTTCTGTCAGCCAGTCAGAGTGCGAATAAAGTGTTACGAACAGACAGACTTAGGCTTTTATAATATTAGAATTCCCCTCTATGAAAAGACACAAGGGGCATGTGACAGAGCAGCTTCAATGCTCCATCACTTTAAGGGCTGGAGCAGCCAGCCACCAGGTATCTGACGAAGGCAGCCATTTTGTAGAGCTCTGATATAAGAGCAGAGCAGTCTGTATGGAGAGCCCAGGGAGGCATATCAGGTTGAGCTGCTCCTGGAACACCTTGGAGGTAAGGGGGAGGCTATGGGGAAGGAGGAGGCTTCATTGGTCCTGGACATGATCTGAAACTGTACCCTGTCAGGATAGGGAGGCCTGGTGGTCCTGCTTGTGGTGGGGTAGGGCCACTTAAATGCCAGGTTTGAGG